AAAGGAGCCAAATATTATCTGTTCCTGGAGAGGAAGGAGTTAAGTCTGCAATATACCTGAGGTAGGGATCTGTCCTGGCTTTTCTCCCTCCCTGCCAGAAGCAGTGTCTGTCCATCCATTTCTTTTTTGAAAGTTTCCTAGTCTGCTCCTCCAGAGAGGGCCCTGCTGGGAACTCACTTTCCCAGCAGTACTTGCAGAGGGTGGGCATTGAAAAGTCTCTGAGTTCTTCTCAGAGCATAATGGGAGTTGGTTTTTCTCTCTGTGTTTCTCAGCCTATAAAAGACCTGGTTGTGTCCATGCTCTGATTGGCTGAGAATGGACACAACTGGCAACTACATGTGCCGTCGCGCCTGGGGGCTATAGCTCTTAGTGAAAGAGGCATGGACGTGACATCTTTCCCCAGGGGATTGCTTCTTGCCCTCGTTCAGGAAACTGGAACTCTCAAAGACCCAAAACACTGTAGATAACTCAAAATAAGTTTTATTGATCACAAAGAATTATTTCTTTAAAGCAATGAGCTGGAAACTTCAGAGGGGTGAAGTAAAATATACGTTACAGTCTCAATTAGGAGTTTGAAGCTGAGAAGCTTTTCCAAGTTTCCTCTTTCCTCAATGGCTGTGAATGCCAGAGCAAACCACAACCCCAGTTCAAATGGCCTATGTTTGAAAACTCAGGATTTTCCTCTGGTGCCAAAAGAACTGGTTTGAAGGCGCTTGAAGCGTTCAGGTTGGTCTGAACATGAAGCATAAGTCTCAAGGGTAAAAAACCTCAGAATTGGTGCTGAGAGGTAATTTAATCAGGGGCTTTTAGAGCCAAGTCTCTTACTCATGTCCATCTGATAGAAACTCTGATGGCAGAATGAAAAAGGAAAGCACTCCCCTCCTCCAGGAAGAGGTGGAGCCAAACAATACTGATTGACAGCTATAAATAACCAATCAATCCAACTATACATAAGCAGGGTAAAAAGGCAGGATTAAGCATGATACAACAGTTTAAATCTTGCAACTAACAGTTCTAAACATAGGTGGTGCCACTCTCGCCGTCACATACAATTCCCAGAACCCTCTCTTGCAGTTTGTCTTATTTTTTAAAAAATGTTATGGCTAAAACTTAAAATAATTCTATAAAATCAGTAGATCGGTCTATTTCTTTGAAACTTGGCAGGCCTGCAGTTGTAAATGGGGACTAAAACTTAGGACGTTTTCATGCAGATAGGCATGACTGGGGATTGAGCCTTTAAAGTTTCCCATTGTAGCCAATGGGCCAAATCTTTGCCGATTGAAAATGGCAACGCCCCTCCCCATTTGAGTAATTTCCTGGTAAACAGAATGAGGGGTCAGCTGACAATGGACCCCAACACGGCATGCACAGCAGTTTCATCTTGACACCTGAAGGTATCAGACTAAGAAGAGAAATATAATGGTACATGTGTTAAATTATCTCTTTAAATAGCATAAAATAAGTATGATAAACAGCATGATAAGAAATCCCTGCTTGTATCCCATTTTCTATTTTTCAGTTGTCTTAACAGGTTTTGCAAGTATGTGAAAAGTTACAGAACTGTTTTTGTTGAGAGACCACACTGTATATTATACCATGGATAATGGTGGATGTATATTCCCAAATTTGTGACATGCTCCCTACATTCATTGGCAACCCACAAGAGTGAGACTGGATTGTGTGGTAGAGCTTCCTTCCCCCTTGTTTATTTTCAACTGAAAGATTGGTTATATGAGCCCCACAGTATTGTGGGGGGAGGGGGACTCTGAGTCCTCTCCAATACCAAAGGAGCTTTGGATCCAGCAGATACATCTTACCTCTGCCCCTGGAAAACCCTTTTTCATAGCTAAACCCAAATTGTTATTTGTATGATTACTGATGGGAGGTAAATCTATGCCCCTGGAGCTTTCCAGCTGTTGCCTGCTGCTGCAAATCTCGCCTTACACATTCTAATCCCCTTTGGACTTGGATTGTAGTCTATTCCACTCAATTCCACACAGAAATAGAGTTTCATGGCCTTCTGAAAGTCACACTTTTGCAATAGTTTCAAAATTCACCGTGAGAGGAAGTACACATTACCCTTCAGAGAAATAAAATGCACACAGATCAACATGCAGGTTTTAAAATGCAAACTGCTGAAATGCATATAATTGAAAATATGTACAAACAACAGTAGGAGTATGCATAAAATGTATAACTACATCTATATATTCTTTTATATCTATGCACATATAAGTGCATATTCGGCAAAATATTTATAGCTTTCAATGCGCAAAAGAAAAAAAAGTTTCCTAACGCAATACAAAAGTCCCATAGGAAGAAAATCTTATTTTAGTTTTGAATAAACCAATAAAAGCAAAAACAAAACTGAGGCTGAGAAATGTTGGCATCTCTACTCAGAAATGAGCCCCATTGATGCAGTGAGGAGTACTTCCAAGACACTGAAAAATATAAGAATGGTGTGGTATTTCTTAAGGATACCTCGGACTTGGCCACAGTGGTCCGCGCTCTTGTTACATCCCGATTGGATTACTGCAACGCACTCTATGTGGGGTTGCCTTTGAAGACTGCTCAGAAACTCCAACTAGTCCAGCGGGAGGCAGCCAGATTGCTTACCGGAGCGACATACAGGGAGCATACCACCCCCCTGTTGTGTCAGCTCCACTGGCTGCCGATCCAATTCCGAGCACAATTCAAAGTGCTGGTTTTGACCTACAAAACCCTATACGGTTCCGGCCCAGTGTATCTGTCCGAATGGATCTCCCTCTACGTCCCACCTCGGAACCTAAGATCTTCTGGGGAGGCCCTGCTCTCGACTCCGCCTCTATCACAAGTGAGGCTGGCGGGGACGAGGAGCAGGGCCTTCTCGGTGGTGGCCCCTCACCTGTGGAACTCACTCCCCGGGGAGATTAGATCGGCGACTTCCCTTCTTTCATTTAGGAAAAAGTTGAAGACCTGGATATGGGACCAGGCATTTGGACATTCTGGCAGCTAAAGAAGACTTGATGATGAGCAGGAATTTGACGAAACGAAATGGATTTACGGAACTCCGAACACTGAGCTCAGGATTAGTTTACTATTGTGTTATTGTATTGTCTGTACTGATGATTTTAATTTTAATTTGTAACTGTTTAATTGCTTTTATATATGTATGTATATGTGATAAAGGCATCGAATTGTGCCTTCTTCTGTAAGCCGCCCTGAGTCCCCCCTCGGGGGTGAGAAGGGCGGGGTAAAAGTAATGGAAATAATAATAAATAAATAGAAAACCAAAAACTTAGATTTCAACTCATGATTTTTTTAAAGCCAATCTGAAGGATCACAACTCCAAATAAGAGGGAGCAAAGATCAGCTAAGAAATAGAAGCTGAAAGGAAACATGTATGATCCCTGTTCCAAGTAAGACTCATCTTAAAGTTTAAAAGCAGATGAGTGAAACACTTTCCTCTCATCAAGAGCTGCCTGAGGAGTTCAACGCTCAAAGGATACTATTTGAAAGGAGAGTGGGGAGAATGACATTTATAATACCAACCACTGTATCCATGGGGAATGTATTCCCGGACTTTGTGAGGATATATGAAACTTCCCATAATAGTGAATCCTATTGAAAACAAGGACTTCCAGCCCCAAAACAACATACAGTTGCACTGTAGAGCATAGAAAATGCCCAAGGAGGACATACCTTACCAGATGTGGATAAATGAAATTGTGGAAACTACAATAGTTGAATCAGACGCAGCTAGTAGATTCCATGTCAAGGTGATTCTTCTCTTGGTTTTTCTCTGAATTTTAAAGATTTTTATAACATGCTAAATCTTATCCCTAAAATATATTTAACCTATTGGGTAGCTCTTTTAAAATCCAAAACATAATCATATCTGCTGTAATGGTAGCAAGCAGTAATGGATCATTTTTATTAGATCTTTTTGTACACCCTTTAAATACCATATACTGTTGCCATTATTATGTGCCTTCAAGTTGACTAACTTATAGCAGTGCTATCATAAGCTTGTCTTCACAAGACAGAGGAGGTTTTCCACTGCCTTCATCAGTGTCACATGTGAGTTTCTATGACTGAGGGCCCTTCCACACTGCCATATAACTCATAATATCAAGGCAGAAAATCTCACAATATCTGCTTTGAACTGGGTTATCTGAGTCTACACTGCCATATATTCCAATTCAAAGCAGAAAATGTGAAATTTTATTCAGCTGTGTGGAAGGGGCCTCAGATAACCTAGTTCGAAGCAGATATTATGGATTATCTGCCTTGATATTCTGGGCTATATGGCTGTATGGAAGGGTCCTGAGCAGGAATTTAAACCTTAGACTTCCAGAATCCTATTCCATTACACTATTCTCACATTATGGCTCTCAAACACCTTGCTGTATCTTTGAAAAAAGAACTAAGAAACAGTTATGATTTTTTCCTTTCGTTATTTTGATATTGTGATGGATGTTTTGGGGAATTCTAATCTACATTAATTATTGCACATACAAGCTTACTCTTCTGTTTAATGGGATTCTATTACAAGGCAGAACTTAGAAAGGAACACACACAAAATATTTCTTACAGTATTCATTGAACAATTCAAAGTTTCATGAACTACTAAGCTGTTTCCATTGAGGCTTTCTATATTGTTAAGAATGTTGCACATTACTTTTTCCTTGCCTTTTATTTATTTTGAAATTCCTAGAACTGATAAGAAAATGGGATGAATCTTGAAGAATTCATAACGGCCTTAAATTGTAATTTGAGGTGTGACTATAACATGCTATCCATTTGGATGATAAAGTAGCATGGTTTCCACTAGTGTTTGAAGTGTCACTCTTTTGGTAACCACATTACCAAGAAAAAAACTTCTCGTAGGTAGTTGTGTTACTTGTAACATCAAATTTCCAAGAGGTATGCACACTTGCTTCCAAGAGATATGAACTCTACTGAAATCATATTTCTATGACGGTAGATGATTTTCATTGATGTCTATCTTGTCTTCTTAGGCCCAGAAGAGCTAGGAAGTGGAAGCTACAGGCATCGATATCTCACAGACACAGGGAATGGTGATGATGACAGAATTGAGATTGATGATTCAGACTATGACATTTACATTGACGAGGTAAATCTAAAGGCGTCAGTCAGTCCATCTGATATTTCAGTTCCTTAAAGATTTTTGTGTGTATAGCATTTGGGCAAAGAGGTCTGAGAAAGATAGGGAAGGAAGACATAAACTAATCTATGCTTTGGAGACATATTGTCTCATTCTAAATGCATTTCTCTAGTTTGACTCAGTTTGAACTTTTCATTCCTCATGCAATAAGATGAAGCCATAGACAACATAATTTACATTAACTGAATGTGGTGGGAGAATGTGGAATTATCTCCAATCAGCTGTCCACATTAGGAGCTCAGCCCCCCCCCCCCAAGTTAAAAGCCATGAATAAAGAAATTGCTATTTCTGTAGGAATTTCTAGATCAATAACCTTGGGTCCCCAGATGTTTTGACCTTCAACTCCCAACAGCTGGTAAACTGGCTGGAATTTCTGGGAGTTGTAGGCCAAAACACATGGAGACCTGCAAGTTGAGAACCACTGTTCTAGATATTTCATCATGGCTCTGTAAATGAATTTCACTGGAAGCAGCCCATAAAAAAGGAGACTCTAGAGATTCCTAGAGAGCCATTCTTTTGAGAAATATCTAGATCCTCTAGCATGACTGGAGAAAGTTGATCAAAAAATCAGACTGGAGGGTTCTCAGATTCTTTGAGAGAATATTTTATTAAATCATGAATAAATAAATCCATAAAAGTCCATATAATTAATTTAAAAACAAAAAATTGAAAACAGGACTTTCCTTATAAACCGTTTTCTTATAAACCCTTTCCTTATAAATAATCAGTTCCACCAAAGTTCTTAATAATAATAATAATAATAATAATAATAATAATAATAATAATAATAACATGCCTTTATCAATAAACATATAATTGGGCTCCTGACATAATTAACCTCTTTTGATCAGGCTATTTCTACAGCAAACAAAATCTATGCCTTGAGCTAGAGATATAAAGAGCTCTCTGACGCTGAATGAAACTGTTGTTCTGATACATATTCTAGCTCATGCCTTTCAAGTTCCCAGGTAGAAATTGTTCATGTTGATACCACATGAGACCTTGTATCCAAGGAATGGGAAGCCTGAAGCTCTGTAGATATTGTTTCCCACAGCAGCTTCCAGAAAATGCTGTTTTATGTATAGGTAACATGTTTCATGTATAGAAAATTCTATTTTATTCAGAGATGTTTCTGAAGTATTCCCCCAAAAAAGTGTGATAAAAAATTTCAGCTCAGCTCTGAAGAATGAAGAAATAGGACATCTGAATATGAAGATTACTTGGTGTTATCCTGATTCCTCTCTATAAATAATGATTTCCATTCAATTCCATGACTTTTCTCTAGGATTGGTACTCCATATGGTGCCCACATACTTTTGGGCCATATTGGACAGGACTGATGGGAGTTGGAATCCATTGACATTTGGACACCTCTACTCTGCTTTTTAATGAAAATAGCATTTAACCTTAATTATTTCTATATGGGAAGCACATACTCTGTTCCTGAGCGTTCAACCAACCAGTGACCAGTGCATGCATTCTTTTCTTTATGATTGCATAATGGCAACACATAGATTTGAACATAGGTATGATATATTCTAGTCCTGCTTCCAACTGAGTATCTTGGCTGAGAAAATTTCTTTGAAGAGGATGACCAAAAAATTTAAATTGATTTTGTTATATCTCTCTCCCAGAGAACTTATGAAATAGGACATCAATGTTATATTTATGTTACTAGTCTTTCTGTCAGTCTGTCTCTCTCTATCAAAAATGATGATGGTGGTAATAATGATGTATGCTAAACAAACAAACAAATAATACCTGCAAATTCTGCAATGTTAATCCTTTGATATAATACATGTGCTACTATTCTTATCTTTTGTCAGCTCAAACCACTTCCTGCTATCAAAGGAAGCAATAGGAAGTTTTTTGTTGAGACCAAGATTTCACAAGGGTCTACTGCAAGGCTCCTTTCACGGTTGCTTTCATCTACTCCATCTCCTATTACTTTCCCTGCAATAACTACACTTCCACCACGTACCACCACCACTACAAGTCTTAAGGCCATCAGGAGAAACGGCGTGGCCACAGTGATACGGCAGTCGGATCAGTCATGTGATGAAACTATTTGCTCTACTGACAGCTTTTGCGTTAATGATTATGAAAGGAGTGGTTCTCGTTGCCACTGCAACCTTGGCAAAGGAGGAGAGAGCTGTTCAGAAGGTTGGTTTACTTAAAAGCCATTGACAATCAGTTGCTTTACTGATGATCAAAACAGCATTTCATATATTTGGCACACGTATTTTGTTTGATACATTAGTGCAATAGTGGACAAATAGGAAGAAGCATAGTTGTATAAGATACACCTTACTAGTAAGCAAAAGAGGTTCACCAAGATCTGGAAATAATGGATGACATATCTACTTTGCTGCTTGAGAGGTGAAGTAACCAATGACCGGATGTTTGGGACAAACAAACAAAAATGTTTTCATTCAATTAATCAGTCAATCAATCACTATATTTATAGGCTGTCCTCTTCCTAAGAGAGACCCTGGTGGTGCAGTGGGTTAAACCACTGAGCTGCCAAACTTGTTGACCGAAAGGTCACAGGTTTGAATCTGGGGAGCTGCGTGAGCTTCCGCTGTCAACCCCAGCTTCTGCCAACTCAGCAGTTCAAAAACATGAAAATGTGAGTAGATCAATAGGTACCAAAAGGTACTGTTCATCCTTTTTGAGCCCCAAAAGGTACTGTTCGTCCTTTTTTGGGCTCCTCTCAAATACACTTTTTCTACTCCTACCTCATCCAGGGTTTTATCATTTTATCTTTTCCATTTGGCCTGCCCATTGTGTTTGATTTTTTATTATGCTACTTTGCTTAGTTTACTTTATTTTGCCACTGTATGTACTTTATTGTGATGTAATTTTTGTTGTTGTATTTTGCACTTTATTTTGCTATATTGGATCTTTGGGCTTGACCTCATGTTAGTCACCCCGTGTCCACTTCGGGGAGATGGTGGTGGGGTAAAAATAAAGATTATTATTATTATTATTATTATTGCTCCAATGAGAAGGTAACGGCACTCCATACAGTCATGCTGGCCACATGACCTTGGAGGTGTCTACGGACAATGCCGGCTCTTTGGCTTAGTAGTGGAGATGAGCACCAACCCCTAGAGTCGGACACGACTGGACTTAATGTCAGGGGAAAACCTTTACCTTACTACCTCTTCCTAAGATTCAATCTGATTGGTTACTTGGAATTTAAAAGCAATGTGAGGTCCAGGAATAGTGTCAAACTTGAGTTCTGAAGATTCAATCACCAGATGTTTATGAAACATTTGTGAGAAAGTTATAGTGGAAACAGGTATTTTTGGTTGTTTTCCCAAACATCTGTTTGTTGTTTGTATCAGCTTTCAAAATCAAGGCTGCTTGTGATGATGGATGGTAGTACATACTTTGCTGAGGTCATTGTAGTGTTCTAGTGACATTCATTTGTAGGTAAAATGGACATAACTATTATAATACATTGCTATGTTTAGGTTTCACACAGTTGCATCGGTAGCTTGTCACTGAGGTGACACATCTTGTATGTGTTTTAGCCCATAGTTCAGTGGAGCTGTCCAAGGTGCTGGTCCTCACTGGGGATAATATTGTTCAGTAATTTGGATAACTAGAATGATTTGGCGGCTGTTTACAGAGTTGTTGGTTTCTCTGCTGCTTTAAGTCCTCTCATTATACTTTCTGATACTTTTTAATGGTGCCATATTGTCATTTAGATATAGTAACTGGGGTATCCATCTATATGAAGAGCATAAATTTGAGTATTGTCTTTTTTGATTAGCTGTAAATGGAGAAGGACAAATAATCTTGAATAACTCTCCAGATAACATGATGAATGTTGTCATTTAGTGAGGTATTCATTCCCTTTTCCTCCAATAAAACATAAGTGGAGCCTTATCTTGAAACAGCAATGGGGACAAGAAGAAAAATGACCAACTGGTCCTCGGGAATGTCCGGGGTGAGACTGGGAAGTTGAGAAGCTGGTGTAGATTCTTGAAAAGGGATAAGGGATTCCATTGTGGAAATTTAAAGGGAAGACAGAGACAGTCTGTTGAGTACTGTGATAAATATAAGTTCAAGTAGAAATGCCCCTTAAGTCTAAAAAGGAATCTATTGATTTTATTCAGAAGTGAACTGCTAAGACATATGTCCTCATTGTTATCTTTCAGATGTTAATATACAATATCCTCAGTTCTTTGGCTATTCATATATCACCTTTGAACCTCTGAAAAATTCCTACCAGAAATTCCAAATTACTGTTGAATTCAGGGTAAGTGTGGAGCCTTTGGGCAATGTCATGTTTAATGTCTTGCTACATTTAGTTTAATGGTAGAAATGTGGATATATAGTGTTAGCCAAAGGGAGTTGGATAATAAGGAGTAAAATTCAACAATGACTGTGAGGTTTGTAAAATAGTTTAGTCTTTCTTGCTCAACTAAACCGAACGCTTGGAAACATTCTTTTCATAGTATGTAGTTCATTATAGAAAATATTAGAAATGTGGTACATTTCAAATTTTATTGCACATTACTTTTCCATTACTGAAAAATAGAAGAAAAGAAGGCCATAACTCTTGAAAATTCATCTGCAATGCCTGTTTTAAAGGTCACAGGAAAAATAATAAGAAAATATTACTGTTTACCAAAAATAAATAAACGTCATTACAATTCATAATGTTTCTTCTGTAGCACAATGCTACAATTCATTTGTTACCAAGAGGGAAAAGGACAATTAGTCGCAAAGGATAACATAACTTGTAATGGATCACTTCCAAATTCTGGTTTAATCTATTATACAATTTCTTAAGCTGACATAAGTATGGAATTCTAGATACTCTCCTGGTCAGTTTAGAGGAATCATAGAATCATAGCATTGGAAGAGACCTCATGGGCCATCCAGTCCAACCCCCTACCAAGAAGCAGGAAAATTGCATTCAAAGCACCCCCGACAGATGGCCATCCAGCCTCTGTTTAAAAGCCTCCAAAAAAGGAGCCTCCACCACACTCTAGGGCAGAGAGTTCCACTGCTGAACAGCTCTCACGGTTAGGAAGTTCTTCCTCATGTTCAGGTGGAATCTCCTTTCCTGTAGTTTGAAGTCATTGCTCCACTGCATCCTAGTCTCAAACAGAAAACAAGCTTGCTCCCTCCTCCCTATGACTTCCCTTCACATATTTATACATGGCTCTCATCATGTCTCCTCTCAGCCTTCCCTTCTTCGGAATAAACATGCCCAGCTATTTAAGCCACTCCTCATAAGGCTTGTTCTCCAGACCCATGATCATTTTAGTCAATCTCCTGAACACATTCCAGCTTGTCAACATCTTCCTTCAATTGTGGTGCCCAGAATTGGACACAGTGTGATTCCAGTGTGACTCCTGTTTATGCAGGCCAAAATCTCATTTTTTTTTTCTGCCGCATGACATTGACTCATGTTTAACTAGTTGTCCACGAGGACTCCAAGATCTTTTTCACACGTACTGCTCTCGAGCTAAGCGTCCCCCATTCTGTATCTTCGCATTTCATTTTTTTCTGCCTAAGTGGAATATCTTGCATTTGTCCCTGTTGAACTTCAATTTGTTAGTTTTGCCCCATCTCTCTAATCTTTTAAGATCATTTTGAATTCTGCTCCTGTCTTCTGGGGTATTGGCTATCCCTCTCAATTTGGTGTAATCTGAAAACTTGATGATTATGCCTTTTAACCCTACATCTAAGTCGTTAATAAAGATGTTGAACAAGACCGGGCCCAGGACAGAAGGATGTAATAAACATGTATTAAATGAATAAATTGACTGAGATTGCTTGGGCCAGTTTCATTTACTTCCATTGTAGTGTGGGAATGGTTTCCTCATTGCATCTTCTCACTATTGCTCTAAGAAAGTCTTGATGAGCAAATCAGGCAGAATGAATGCAGTGACCCAGAAATTGTTCTCTCTGGAAGCAAGTGAAGGAGCATTGTGCCCTCATGATACTATGGAACTGTAGAAAGTTAATATCAGTTCATTTGTAACTGTGTTTCAAAACCTGGGTGTTATTTTTTTCCATTCCCAGACTGAAGCCGAAGATGGTTTGCTTCTGTATTGTGGAGAAAATGAGCACGGACGTGGTGACTTCATGTCAGTTGCAATCATCCGAAGAAACGTCCAGTTCAGGTATGATTGTCAAATAATACTCTAATAATAATGAAAGGTTTCTGGCCTCTTTTAGGATTCCTATCTTCTTTGGGAAAAACAAAATATCATAATAGCTGCTTGGGTCTCAATCAAGAGAGAAAAGCAGGGTTCTCCTGCAGCTGTCTATCAAGGGCAGTGCTTGGAGGCAGAAGGTTATACTGTGCCCTTCAGTGTTTAAACATCCCTATTTAAAGGGTATTTTCATTTTTGTGAACAGAAATTAGAGATTATGATGAGGAGGAGGACAATGAAGTCATGATTTCCCATTAATTCATTCATTCGGGATTTTCTGAGATTAGAACTTATTTGAAATAATTCTGCACAAAGGATCTATTTCCTACATAACCCACCACTAAATCATGTTTTCAACTCTAAATAATGGGGTGGGGGGGTTTGCAAATAAATGAGATACTAAAATATGACAAATCTTGTGGTGGTTGATAGTTTTCATGAGGAGATATTTCAATATGGATAAGAAAATGATCAAATAGTAGTATAAGGTTACTACATTGTTAATAGCTTGTTTCAAAAAAGAAATGTATCCAAGAATGTGGTTTTCAAACATAATTTTTGGATATGACTAGTCAAAGTATCTTTGATGGGAATCACCTCAAACTAGAGGCAATTCGATTTTGTCATTTCATGGGAGGTTGCCATTTTTTCCTGTGTTGATCATAGATTCAACTGTGGTACTGGGATTGCAGTAATTACCAGTGAGAACAGAGTTAAACTGGGAAACTGGCATAGTGTGACTGTGTTCAGAGATGGACTGGAAGGTTGGCTTAGACTGGATAACAACCCTCCTGTTTCTGGTAAATCTCAGGTGAGTCATTTTGCTACTGAAAGGTAATATAATTAGCCATGAATGTATGTTTGTGCTGAAGCAGTCTGGAATGCCAAGATGTCCCCAGACCCAGGTTGAAATCCTAATGGGATGCTTTATATTTGGAATGGTGGTGGAGAAGGTGGGTAGGAAGGATCTCCATATCAGTCAAGGCTTGTGATATCTCTGGGGCCTTCCACTGCTTCCTACTTTCTCCTCCTAAATGTCATTTGGTAAACCTAATTAAGTGAACATTGTTGCTTTAGGTCTACCTCTGGGACTAAATCCACCCAGAAGTATCCCCAGATCAATAGCTGCCACTTCCTACTAAGTTAAAGAGTCGCAGGAGACTACTAAGTATTTTGAGGCAAGGGACAAACATTTCTGTGATATTGTATTACAACACAATAAACTTCCAGTGTTAACTTTTTTGTAGTGCTCGACACACCTTTAAGCAAGCATGTGTCAAAGAAAATAAAGGCATGAAGGTTAGGATGAGACAAGATTAGTTAGAATCCCATCACTACTAGCTACAGCAGAGAGAGGTCACATGAGAAAGATTTCCAGATTTCAGGGGCTGATTGTTATTCTTCTGTCTACATGATGAGCGAGAGGACTTTTTGGGCAAGAGCATTGCCTTGAACAGTGTGCATAAATCAGTTCATTGGCCAACACACATTTTGGTGCCTCAAATGTTAGACATGTTTCTGGGTATATTTGATCTGCTGGTTCCAGAAATGGCACCACTTTTGGCCTATCAGCTCTAGTTTTTGAAATACAGAACATATGCTATATACCAATCACCATCTGCTCACCCATGGAAAACCATGATAACCATATCTAAGAAACTAGAGCTGATGTGGTTGTTCCATATCGAGTTTCTGAAACAGTGCCCCAAGTAACCCTAGAAATACATTCAGGCATTGAATGTTTGCCTTTTATGTTTGGAATCCACTCTGAGTCCCTTCAGGGAGATAGGGTGGAATATAAATAAATGAATACATAATTATTAGGCCTAAAAACTAAGACACCAAGTTTTTTTTTGTTGGACTGTGGTATTTTTCATTTTACCTACCAAAAATCATGGTGTTTTTTTAAAAAAGAGTATACTTTGTTGAGAGTTCCAGTGTGGTGTTTTGGTGTGAGCAGTGGACTATGATTCTGGAGAACAGCACTGACTTCCTTGGAGAAAAAAAGGAAACAAATTAATAACAAGCTTAATTGTCTTTCTGGGAGCCAAATTTCCTATGAGTGTTTTTCCCTTCTCCATTTTCTAGGGTCAATACAGCAAGATTACTTTCCGAACTCCCTTCTATCTTGGAGGTGCTCCAACAGCCTATTGGCTTGTAAGGTCTGCAGGAATGAACCGTGGCTTTCAAGGCTGTGTTCAATCACTCATTGTCAATGGAAAGATCATCGATATGCGGCCTTGGCCTTTGGGGAAGGCTCTTAGTGGAGCAGATGTAGGTAAGTGCAATGTCATTCCCACTCATGTGTGTGTGTGTGTGTGTGAGAGAGAGAGAGAGAGAGAGAGAGAATGAAGTTGCATCTACACTAGAATTAATCCAGTTTGACACCAGTCTAGCTACCTTGGTACAATGCTATGGAATTGGGACTTGTATGTGTTAATTCTACAGTGTAGGTGCATGCTGAGTTGTAATCTCCCATACAGACTATCCAACAACTTGTTGGATAATGGTTTGAGATAGATTTTGGGTCAGGTTATTTAAAATCTGTCATATTTTGTTCACTTTCTTTTGGTTGGTTTCAGACTCTGTCTTATTTAGAATAGACCCATTAGTCTAAGTATGAAAAGTAGTTTGTCTGCTTTAAATGCTTTTCCATGGCTGTTCCAATACTAGACAATACCAAGATTGTTCACAACATTATTAAAAACAAGTACAGTTAAATAAGGGTCCAATTCATTGAAGGCACCAGATCCCTTCTAATCTAAGCAGGGCTATGTCACACTACTACTTGGGTGGGAGATTGCAAAGAAATGTCAGGTGCTGTATAAAGGCAGTGGCAAGCCACCTCTGAGTATCCTTTCCCTAAGAAAACCCTGTGAAATCCATAGGAGTTACAGGCAACTAGAAGGCACACAAAGAGAGAGCTCAGAGGACAGCAGTATAATGATATTTGAACACAGCAAATTGATGAATTAATAAACAACATTTCTCTCCCTGAGAATGGGAGAACATATTTATAAAGACTGAGTGAATAACTTATTCAGAACATATTGATGGCTCTGGAAAATGTTTGAATGCCTTTCCACTTGGGTTAATTGTACAAAATTGCAAGTTTTGTGAACAAAATCCCATTACCAAGGAAAGCATTCCTATTACAGAAGTTGTCCATTGTTGTGTTCTTTCCTTCTTTATTTGTATAATTTCAGTGAGCAGATAGAGTGCCATTGGAAGTTTTTGCTTCTAGTTATTACTCAGTAGACATGACGAAACAGAAAATGACTCGACCATCCCTCAACAGACAATGACATTTATTTAAGTAGAAAATACATACAATCTACTTTTAATAATTTTCAAGGACCTGGCATGTGTCTTTGTTTAGCAAGACTGGTAGTCATCCTAAAATTTTGAAACTCTTTTGTGCTTATGGAAAAATATAACCATTCATTTGTCACGGGTAACTATGGAAAGGCATGGTCTCCATCAAATTGTCTAATCTACCTTTGAAGCTATCTAAGTTAATAATCACTGTGTGGTAATGCATTTCACAATTTCAATATCTGCTTTGTGGAAAACCTACTTTTGTCTCCACGAATAATGGTCCTCTAAAATGCTTGATAATATTGCAGGCACTGAGATGCTTGAGATTTATTATAGCATTATTGCATTTTCTTAATCATAGGCCAATGTCAAAGGCCCCAGCTTCAGATTTGGGTACAAATCCAGAAGACCTACCCATCAGTCATTTATAGTTTGTTTTTCATTGACATTTGAGATTTGAGTTGTTTCAGTAAAGACATTCTGAACACACTCATTGAGTGCACGTCACCTTGTACATGGAGTTGTCCATGTTACAATAGCTTAATCACCTGTTTTGAATGCTAAGGTCCACCAGTCCATTTACCCACCTGTTTATAGTATCAAATTCACAGCATATAAACTACGTTATAGTAATACAACTACATAATAGGATCAGGTTGGTGATGCAGGTCGAACTAGCTGAGACTTTGCTGTTCTGGCAACTAGTCTGCAGTCTAGTTGAGTTTCCCTATCCATCCTGGAACAAAGGAAAGGAGGCTGGTTTGACTCCTTGGTCCACCATGAGGTTCCTGCATGTCATGAGCCAAGTAAAGTCAAGTCTTTTAGGCTGTTTTGAGATGGGTCAAATAAAACAGACTCACCTTACAACTGCTTCAAAGAGTCCAGTTGGTTTTGCAGCACAGGCACTGCTACCAGCCATCAATCTGCTGCAAGGGGAACCACAATTTACTTTGGGTCTTTCAGGTCATCAGAATGACCATAGTGTTTATTGAAATCTGGGACAATCTAGTGTTCACACTTCAAAAATAATTACCACTATTTTGCTGGTCAAAATCACTCCTTGTAGGAATCTTGCTGATGACATTGCTTCTGGAGATCACATTGTATGGCTCCTCACCAGAAACAGCAACACTAGCAAGGTTCTACTGGGGAGCTGCTTGGAGCTATTTTTTCCTGGCAAAAAAGTAGCCAGGGTGTCCCCAAGGAGGACAGGGCACTGGTGTCTGGACTCCTAAAAGGCTTTGGAGTGCTTCCGCAATGGTAGGCATGGATTCCCAATTTTGCACCTGGTGCAGCTCTGGCATAGTTTACTCCAAAGTATTTTGGTAAGTGTAGATGTAGCCTTACTCTTCCAAAACCTGCCATAAGTTCTTTGTTTAGGATGGCCAAGAAATATAAATGAACAAAGTCTTCACATCACTAAGCTGATCAAAAGGCTTGTTCAAGTGACTGCACTTTGTTAGTGATAGAAGCAGTTCTAAATCCTGGTTTCAAGTCTAGCGTTTCTTTGATAAAAGATCATCTCTTCATATCTTTTGTATTTCCCTATACCAAGGGCAGTGACCGGTAGCAACAGTTGCCCTACCCCCCTTGATAAAAAAGTGGGGGTAGAGATCTATGAAAAGATATAAAAGCTAATAGAATGGCATAGAGAGCAGACTCTGAAGAAAATAACACCTTAGAAAAGCACAGAGAGCAATTTCACGATAGAGTGAGAATCTATGGAATACTTATAGACAGTGAAACTTGTCAAAAAGTTTCTTTCTGATCAATATTGGTTCTTGGATCTCAGCTGTAGCACTCTCCAATCCCAGTATTAACCTTTACAGCCACATCTATCTGTATGTCTCTTAGTCACGTTTCAAGGTTACCCGTCAAACGCAGCTCACTACATGATGAAATAAAAATAATTAAAACATGCATTTTATTTATTTAACTCCTGTCAACACAATTCTGAAAAGAGCTGTCCTTACTTAATGCTATCTTTTAAAAATGTATACGTTTTTATTTACATTTTTTGATATATTACTAGAAATGAACAATTGGAATTGGCTCCCGTACTAACAACAAATTAGATGAATTTGCATATTGCAAGCAACTGTGTGTGCATGCGTGTGTTCCTTCAAGTCACCTACCATAGTATGGTAACCCAATAAATTGCATAGACTTTCATAGGAATACTCAGTGATGGTTTTTCCACTTCCTTCTTCTGAAAGACACCGGGTATTCATTGGTAGTCTCTCATCTAAATTCTAACCAGGGCTGACCCTGCTTAGCTTTCAACATCAGACAGGATCTGGGGCCTTCACAATATACTTCTTTCTTATTCCTTCTACTCTGAACCCTCTGTGGAAAAGTACTGACAGTGTCCAGCCTCATGTAGTACAATAAGAATGGAGACAAGTAAGCATTAGAGACTCATGTCGTCAAATCAACAGTTCCACTTTTCTCTGATTAGAAAGCAATTCTTTCGTCCTAGGAGACAGATTGGACTCCGCACATTGTCTTTCAAAATTCAGAGACAGACTTAAGTTTTTACAGCTTTCATTAAATTCAGAATTATACCATACACAGCCCATATTTTGTCCTGAATGCCCCAATCTGATGATTAAAATGATAATTGAGTGAACAGATGGGAAAAGAAGAGGTGATCACTTGATGGCATTTGTCTCCAAATGTCTCTGATTGGATTAAAGCTGGAGAATTCAGCTCACTTACACCCTGTGATGTTTCCTTTTCAGCATCGTATCAAGGCTCTCTTTCATGCTGTACGATTTGTTGCTAGTGGCATTTATATCAACACAACCCATCAATCTTTAGTTATGAGCTCAATGTTATTAGGGGACAAACGGAGACACTTAGTTTTCAATCCTACCTGCTGTACATGGGGAACTTGCAGCCATCCAAATACTGTTGGGTTGCAACTAGCCAGTTTAACAGTGATGAAGGATAATGGAGTTTGCAGTCCCAACACTGGGATGCCTACAAGTTCAAGATTATGTCTAAATGTATTTATTATTCTTCCACCCTTCTTCTACCACAAGAGACCCAAGGCATTTCATAGCATGGTTGCAGGGGGAGGGGGAGAAATAAAACAATCAGTCATAGTACTAAAATACAATTAAACAGATACTGTATCATCTTGAAGTTAACTTTGATATATTCACTGGGATTTACTGTTGATGTAGGGTAGGGCTTCTTAAAGTTTTCCACTTGGGACCCCTTACTCGGTCCCAGGCATACAGGTGTATAAAACAGGTATGAAATAAACATTTACTAATAACAAATCAGCGTTCGAAAGGCTTGCTAACTAGGTGGAATATCCTTTTTATGAAGTAGGACCTCATTGCACTAGAGAATAAATCTCCTTTAAATCCGGTTCCTGCCTCCTGTAGAATTCTGGGCTTTGTCGTTTAGGAAGGAGTCTTTAACAGCTTCACTAAACTACAAACCCCAGAATTCTGCAGGAGGCAGGAACCGGATTTAAAGTGGATTCATTCTCTAGTGCGATGAAGTTGCAACTGAAGTATTTCCTGCAGAGTCCACTGCAAAAACTGCTCAAGAGATTCATGTAAATGTCTCAAACAGCCACTGATGTTCAAAAATGTATACTATTGCCATTTTTTCAGGGCCCCAATATTAAGCAAGGGGGTCCCTATTTGGGGTTGGAACCCTGGTTTAAGAAGCAGTGATAAAGCGTTGTCATTTTCATCAACAGAATCTCAGATGTTAATTTGAAGTTGTGGATCATTTCCAAAAGTTTGAGACAACACATATTGTGAAAGTTGTTTGCCCACCTTTTTGGAAGGAGGCTGGAAGAACTTCTGGTTTCTATCAAGTCCTTAGTAAAGATCCTTCTTTTAAACTAGAGCCCCAAAAGGAAGGGCCGTTCTCACTGGGGATTCTGGAAGTAGTAGTCCAAGGAAGCAATAGTTTCAAATTCTGTTTCTGTTCTATTTA